TAGAAAATGGAAATGCGCAGTAGAGATCTAAATGCTATTTATTATTATTATTATTTATCATTATTATTATTATTAATTATTATTGCTATTATTATTATTACCTATTTATGGTAATTATGATTTCTACGAGGGTAATGCAAACGACGAGCTTTTAATTGCACAAACCTAACAAAAGAGGTCAACCTGATCAGCGCTGCATCAGAGTGTGTGAGCTAGTCCAGTTTTCAGCTTCAAACCACTCATGCGGATCCGACAAACAGGGCAAGTGTACACCTTACTTTAGTTAGTTAAAAACGGAAAATCGGGCGCTGTGTGAAGACGACAGATTACGCAAGCAGTGACGTAACGAGTTCTCGATGAAATACAGTGACAGAAAAAAAAAATTCTCGTCAACGTTACCCAACCGAGGTCTAAACAGACAGGGTTCAGAGAGTTTACTGCAAGTACACAGAATTACGATAAAGAACAGATTAGAAGAAGCATTGTTCTTTCAGAGGTAGCTGCTGCCACTTCTGAGTTTGGGTTTAAGTAAAAAGAAGAAAATCGACATAATAAAGGTCATAATATAGTTCCGGGAAAAAGCAGGAAAGACAAAAACAACAGAGGGAAAGAAAAGAAGTAGGGTTTACGAACAGCGCCCTGCAACCATCCAGGCGTCCACTCTGAAAATTAATTGACGAGATTTTTTTAAAATCCTAAAATTTAGTTGCGATCACTTGTATCTGCTTCAGAAACATTTTGTCGAAATTCAAATAATTCTAAATGTCGAAAGGGGGTTCTCGTGGCCTTGAGGTTAAGGTGTTAACATCTCATTCAAAGGTCGCAGGTTCGAATCTGGGTAGCGACGGAAAACAATTTCTTCTCTAAAATTGTCTCCTTTCCCCTCTTTACTTGCTCTCTAGCAATGTTCTGTCGTCTGATTTCGTCTCCACTTTCTGCCCCCACCCCCTCACCTCCTTTGCCATCTCCTCTGGGCTCCTGACTCTTTCTGCAGCCTTACTACTGCTTCTCCTTGGCTCCTTTTTAATGCTGTCTTTCAGCCACTCTCCTGATCCTTTGGTAGGAAAGATCTACACCTAGCGTTCACGGACATGGGCGAAAAATCTCGGCGGTCCCGTGTGCAAGTAGCGCACGTTAAAGAGCCTTTGTGGTCCGAAATTGATAAGAGTAGACTTCGGCCGCCACCCGGGCAGAATTAAATAATTTCCTACCAACTGAAATGTTTGGTGTGTCCTGTGCGCTCATATGACCTTAAGAGGTTGCGAGCGCCGTAAAACACTTACCAAAAATATTGAAAAAGCAAAGAAAAGATAAATGATGAAGGAAAGATTAAAAGAAAATGGATACCTTTTTTACTCTCTCTCCTGAAGAAATTTGTCCTCTGTGCTTAGAACAAGAAGAGGTCACCGAGGACACGTACTCACGAAAGAGTCCATGGCTTCTAATAGTGTTACTGTACTGACACATATACTGGTTTTACACCTTCTGCTGAATATTGTAAAACTGGTTTAGAAGCTGGGTATGCAAAGTTAACGTCTATCTCCGATTTGAGCCAGCAACATCGGTAAAGAGTCTTGAAAAACTTCATAAAAACATTCATAGGAAACCGGAATAGAATTCTACACCTGTCAACTTTTCTCATCAACAAATGTCCGTCTGAAATACTTTGTACCGGTAATTATACCGAGAAATAAACTATAACAAACAAGAACAAACGCCAGAAAGCTAACTGTGCTCTAAAATGAAAATACCACACGCCAGCACCCCCACCCCATACATTTAGAAAATAATCTACCCCCCCTCCCCCCGCCCCCACGACCATAGAAAAAAATCCCCCGACGAACTAATACATGCATCAAGTTTTTCTTTATATAAACACAAATGGCGGAAAGATTCTCCGGGTTGTCATTGTTCGTGAAAAATCTGCTTCGATGGCCATGCACACAACTCAGCTATCTTTTCCTCCAAATCTGTGGTGACCCACAATCTTTCCTGGCAAATACAAGATCTCTACAACTCTAGTAAATCTTCCAGGTTCTGGACCCCAACTCTGTGATGTGATAGGTTTATAGCGGTTAGAACTGGAGAAAAGACAATATTAAAAACGTCTTTATTCCCAAGACTATTACAGGCTCCAAACAGTAGAACGTTACGGTCGCTGAGGTGTGGTTTACGCACGACGAGTTGATAAAATAGATTTGTTTCAAGAGTATATTAGAAGGCCAATAGCGTTGTTGATAAGAAGTACTAATAGCAGGGCAACCCAGCCAAAGAAACCACATTACAACAGTCATTCAAGAATTTGGGTGAGTTTTGACATCTTTTTCTCCTAAAAACTTTTTGGGGTAAGTGTTTTACAGCGCTCGCAACTGCATAAGGTCCTACGAGCGCGCAGGACACATTATACATTTTCAATTGGAAGGACATTTTGAATTTTACCGGGTGGCGGTCGAAGCCTACTCTTATTGATTTTGGACCACCAAGGGATATTCAGCATGCGCAACTTGCATACGGGACCTCCGAGAATTTTCTTCCTTAACCGAGAAGGATAGGCATAGACCTTTCCTACCATAAGATCAAGGGTGTGGCTGAAAGACAGCAGTAAGAAGGAGCCAAGAAGTAGCTGTAGAAAGGTTGCAGAAAAGAAATCAGGAGCCCAGAGGAGGGGCAAATGAGGAGAGGGCAGGAAGTGGAGACAAAAACACACAGATATCACAAAAACACACCCATACAAACAAGCATATTATATTTATGTTCTATATTAAACATACAAATATATTCTATATACATAGATATATTTCTGTAAAAAGTCCTCATCCTCAAAAACTTGTCTTACAACGGTCAAATGTTTCTACACATAAAGGTAACAGCCATGGAAACTCCGGTAGCTCCATCCTATATCAATATTTTCATGGCAAAATTCCTAGCGAAAACCCCCCAATCATATCACTATTCCAATTCAACCTTTTTGGGTAATGCAAACCATGGACGAAATAAAAGTTCTACATAGGAATTCTAAACAAACCCACCAATTCTTTTGTGACCTTTAAAGCATCAATGACAACATCAACTTTAAGTAGAGTCTAAATTGTCCAAGACGGCCATTCACCTTTTTAAGGAGAAGAGTGGCTGTTTTAGACAGGTGGACATCTTAAACAGTTCCATTATAACGTAAAAAACCCAACAACAACAAAAAACAAAACAAAACCAACAACCCCCACCCCCAAACAAAAGAAGAATAAGCAAGGGAAGAAGTGGGAAGTCGCAGTTTGTCAGGTGATTCTCTTATACAAGTGGCCGATAAAGCAGGGTACTTCCACCCCTAAAAGTCTTCATCTTTCTTCCATCTTTCCATCCACCTTCTCAAAAACAACTTATACACGGTAGACACAGACCTCTACCGTAAACCTCTAGAACTGAACCCCTCCTACCCCAAGACCGTTTCCAAACACCCTTAACACAATCAAATTCAGTTCTGTAATCTATAGTGCCGAGTCTTGAGGATACTGTCGCATCTGTTCCAGCGTGCAAAGGGTTTAATACATTTTTCTGCAAGAACTGATCTTATTGGCCACAACAGAAGCCACGAATGATCTCAATCCTTTTCTTTTCTTCTATTCTTTTTAAAGAAATATCATCGTCTGCGGATACTTTAGTTCTGTTCGACATTGACGGACGAACTTTTTCTTCTTCTTCTTCTTCTTCTTCTTCTTCTTCTTCTTCTTCTTCTTCTTCTT